GCCGCAGCACGTACCAGTAATATGCATAGAAAAAACGAACGACCGGGACCGCATCACAAAAGAATATACAAGAACGTGACTTAACAGGTTTTTTTTTATTGAAATCGTGTTCGTTTTCAATTTGATCTGATTTTGATTAAATGAAATTAAGTGTATGATCTTACCATGTATATAAGTATAAATAATACTTTTTTGCCATCATACATATTCTTTACACAAATTCAGGAATGTCGTCTACTCTTATAAAGAAAATTTTATACCTGTTTCTATTCTTAGTATTAGCTTTACATTGTGTTATAGCACAAGTAAAAATAAATTACCAAGGTGAACATGGAAATTATGGTGATCAGGCAAAGATTAAAGAGTAAGTTTGATCGATGTTTACTCTGAATTACTACAATTTCACTAAACAACTTTCTTTGATAGACACGTAAAAAATCATTTAAAAGACGTTGAACATCCTCCAGATGAAATATCAGATGATGACGAATTATATTTCCTTTTCTCCATTCATGACATTAATCAGGATGGTTATTTAGATGGTCATGAGCTTCGCGGTGCATTTACCGATGAATATGATGATGAATCAGATAATAATGCTTTATTAAAAATAGAAGAAATTGTTGAAATGATCGATCACGCACTACTAGAAGATGACATGGACAACGAGTAAGTATACCATATATATTAGCATTATTAATTGATATTGTATTGCTATTATTTCTGATTTCTCTTTTGTTAATATTTTGAAGTGGAAAAATTAGTTGGGAAGAATATCTCTTATCACAAAAATATCACGAAGCTTAGATAGTAAAAATTTATTGTAAAAAAATTTTTTTTTTAAACGTTAAATTGAGTGTATGTATATCTTTACATCTCTAAAAAAAATTTAATGCTAATGTTTAATACTTGTATCTATATAAATAATTGATATTTGACCGGATTATATCGAAAGAATTCTTTTCTCTTGTATATAATTTCGTTAAAATTACCAATTTCGTTTAAATACTATCTTACTTAAAATTTGATCAATTTTTTCATTCTTCGAAACATTCCTCATCTTCATTCCACTTGATTAGATCAAGATCAACACCCATCTTCTTGAGCATAAATTTCATTGTACCTTTCGGTTCCACATTTACTTGTTGTTCACAGTAATTTTCATCATCATCTTGATCTGAATTATAGTATCTTTGCTGTTGTTCATTATCTTCCCATCCCCAATTTTCATTCCAAGAATTTGAAAATCCCGATTCTTCAAGAAATGAAGATTGCTCCTTTGGCATTTTTTCAAATAAATATTCCGCAGCTTCTTGACTTGCACGTCTCCATTTTTTTATAAGTAGGTTATTATTTTCATCTTCATTCTTAATTCAAAATAAATAAATTATTTGATAGAGTTAAAACGAAACCAAAACAATATATGATTAAATTTTATTATACTTTTTCTTGATATGACAATAATAATTTAATCTTTCGAATATTATTATTTGCGTTCTCTATATCTCTTTCTAACTTATGTTGTTTTTCGATCATAGCTTTAATTTCTGGGTCTTTTTGCTCG